TACAGCTGAAGCTGGATGAAACTGTAATGCTCGTATTGAAAATAATAAAATCTAAAATCAGTCATCGAAGATCATGTATTAGTATTTTAAAAAGAAGAGCAAGCCAGGTGTGGCCGCTCATACCTTTAGTGCCAGTACTGAAGAGGATGAAGCAGGTGGATTGCTACCAGTTTGATGCAGGCCAGTTTGGGTTACAGTAGAAGCTCCCTCCTGCCCCCATCATGCTTGAAAAAAGAATACAAATTTAACCTAAAATTAGCAGAAAAAGGAATTGAAAAGCGAGGAAGTTAATCAAATAGAGAAAGAATAACAAAGGTCAATACAATTAAACCTTGCTTCTTGGAAAAAAATCAACAAAAATTGATAAATTTCCATCTAAATTAATCAAGATAGAGAGAAAGAAGAGCCACTAGCGACAGGCAGAATGACACAAGCCCTCCACTAGGGACTATATAAGGACTAGAGTAGCAAGAACAGGCTATTGTAAAGATTTTGTGCCACTAAATATGACAACTTGGGCTAAATGAACAAAGTCTTTGAAAGCCACGGATTGCTACAAGTGACTAAATGAATTAGATATGATCAGCATCTATAATAATAACGCCTATGAAATTCTATCTGGTAAGTTCAAAAATGTCTGTCAATGAAAAAACAAAATCCCTTTAAGTTTTGACTTCTTTGTTTGATTGAATCAGACACCCCCTAAATTGCTCCCTTTCCTCTTCTGGGGACACAGCACAGCCTTCGATTTAGTCCTCCCTCAGCAGCCATTCTTTATTGCTATCTTTCAAGGATTGGTTTTCAATTGTTCACATCTGAAATGTAGGTCCTTCCCAGAACTCTGGCCGGGACTCTCTGTTCTCACCCCAAAGCTCTCTAAAAGGCTTCCTTTATTCTTAAAACCTCATGACTCTTCACAGAAGGATGAATCTTGTGTTTGTGAATCAATGAGGCAATTGATATCTGGCTGTACAACAGGTACCATAAACACAGCACACACCAGCATGAGAAAAAAATGACAATAAATGCTGGTAAGGATGAAGGTGGAGAGTAACCCTTATTCACTGTGCCAGTAAATGCAAACCAGTAAAGCCAGTCTGGAACCTTCTCACAAACACTAAAAATATAGATATCATATGAGCAAGCCATCGCCCTCTTGAGCATATTCCAAAATGACTCTATATCATATCACAGAAATATTTGCATGCTCATGTTTATGGTTACTCTAGTCACAATAGCTCAGAAATGGAGTCCACCTAGACATCCATCTGTTGATGAATGGATAATGAAAACATAGAATTATATTTGGCTCTAAAGGAAAATGATATTTGCGGGAAATTTCTCAGGCATCAGAGCCATTGATCTGTGGCATGGTTTCCTTGTAGGAAGGGAATTAAGTTCCAAGGTTTGAGGCCTTGGTCGCCTAAAACATTCAGCATTTGAAACATGACCCAAGAGGGAAGCATTCCATGGGCTGAAGATTTCTGGGATCATATGTGTATTTCTTTTTAATCTCCCCACCTCTGTCTCTGTCTCTGTCTCTGTCTCCATCTCTGTCTCTTCTATCTCTCTCCTCTCTTTCACTTTATATGTTATGTGTGAACACACATGCATTTTAGTTTGTGGCTACAGAGGAGAGATGACATCTCTCTCTCTCTCTCTCTCTCTCTCTCTCTCTCTCTCTCTCTCTCTCTCTCTCTCTTTCCACCTTAGTTTTTGAGACAGACTATCTCACTGAATTTTGAGTGCACTGGTTTAGCTAGACTGACTGTCTAGCAAGTCTTGGAGATCCTCCTGTCTCCAACCTCTCAGGGCTGGGTGGATCAGAATCTTTTGACTCATACACCAACTTTCCCCTGGCAGAGACTAGTACTCTGATTCTGCATTATGTCTGGAGAGAGCCAGGTGCGAGTTCATGAATAAAAATAGGAAGTATTCAAATATTGACACAATGTGGGGAGGACCCAAGACTCTAGGTGCCAAGAGCACTTAACATGATTCCAGGGAAGGAAACCAAAACTAAATGGAGCATTTGAGAACCATGGGGTGCAATTACTTCCAGAAAATGTTTGAGTGATTGACCACTAGAAACTTTTTATTCTAAGAGTCTGTCATTAAATAAAGAAATGAATGAATAAATAACTAAACTGCTTCAAATACTGAATTTACTTTCTTTTTCCCTTGTATAGACAGCTGCTAGGAAATGCTTGATACTAAGACTGGGAATTATGTCATGTGCCAAAAGGATTTTAAAACTAGGATCTAACTTGTGATCTAATTAAACAATAAGACATGACAAAACAGTCACTCTTTTCCCTTAATGTCTTCCTGGGGCAGTTCAACTTCCTGTATCAAAAAAGGCCCAGGCCAAGGTCAAATGCCTTTGGCCAAGGTTTCTAAATCTCAAGCCTCTACTATTCCCCCCCTCTCCCTTACACCCCCCACCTCTCTCTCCCTTCCACCTCTCTCTCCCTTCCTCCTCTCTCCCTCCTTTCTCCTCTCTCTCTTCCTCCCTCTTTCCTTCTCTCTTTGTCAATGTCTCCCTCCTTCACCCCTCCCTGTCTCCCTACTTCCCTTCCCCCTCCTTCTTCCCTACTTCCTATAAAATAATGCATTAAAGCAGACCAGAGACCAGAAAGCCTGACTCGAGAATCCCACAAACAATATGAAATAAAAAAAGCTCTTAACAATCATCTAAAAATATGGAGGAAAAAATAGCACACCACAGCCCACAGTTCTGCCAAACAGAGGAGAGCTTGAACACACAAGGCCACAGTGATTGACATAAAGGAGCAGGAAGCGGTATCAGAGAGGTCCTCAAACCCCAGCTCCCACGTGTGGAAACATCTGTTCAAATTGTGGCCACACCTGCTGGCATGTTTAGAACCAAGGAAACTCAGTTTAGATGAGGCTTATCACCTAGCGCAGGGACAACTTCCTGAATGTATTGCTGTCTATGTGCATTTTTGTATAATTTTTTTTCAGAGTCACTATACACGCTTAGTTTAAAAACTTTAGTAAAACTTGATTTGGGTGAATATACATGCTCTCATAAATATTTGTGCTGTTTTTGCTTGTAACATCTGAGAACTCTGGTGATTTTGGGTCTTAACAAATTTTCGTCACAGAAGCATAGAAGCATCCTGCATATGGTATATTTTACACTGACCAAATTAGCTGAGAAACAAATATTTCCTTGAAAAAAATTCTTTTTAAGAAGAGTCTTCACGCTATTAATAATGTCTTATCCTTCCCCAGAGACCAGCGAGGAACAGAGACCTGGCTCTGTCCCTGGAGACAGTAGATGGGGCTCCTGTCTTGAACCTACAGTGGAGACCAATGTGATTATTGTGGGTCACAATCTACAGACACAGTGCTCTGCCTAGCATGTGCTCATACTTGTCAGTTAGTGGAATGCTTTCTAAAATTCCTGCCATGATCATACTTGCATCTCAGAATATCCCAGAGACTCTGATGTAGGCAGGTGAGACTGAGTCATCCATTTGATCTTCCTCATAAGGGTTCACTCGCCTTCACATCCCCCCAGACTCAGTGCTTTCCTCTTCAGTTTTTAATGTAGCAGTCATTATCCTCCCTGCCTGCTTCCTCTGGGATTTCTACATGGTTTACTGTAATTACTCCCAATGCCAACCTTGTGTGTTATGAGCAACTTACAAAAAACAGAATCAGAAAAGGAACAGTGTGGAAGAATCTTCCTCCCCTACCCCACTGCTTTCTTTCTTTAAGACACGGTACAAGGAGACAAGATAGCATTTTGTTCTCATAACATGATGGACAAATCATATGGATGGTCTATTAAGGTGATGGATGTGATACATTTTAATAGGAAACATCAACTACAGCCAATTTCTCCTAGGCTCTCTTTGAAGCCAAGTCATCCCTGTATAGTTAAATTTAATACCCAGTCTCCTAAGTTTCAAACTTTTCTCGGTATGAAAGCACTGATTGGTTTTTATTTATGCCCCTCACATTAACCATTAAAATCTTAGCACAGAGCACAAGGTACAGGGGAAAGTACCTTAAGATGAAATTTCCTTCCTTTAGCCAAACTAGTATCTTGTTTTCAACATGTACTCACCGTATTGTCTTGACTATAACTCTGTGGTATTTTCTATGATCTGTTTTCATTCCATAAAGTCAAATTAACCCAATGAAATTCTTTTTGCCCTGTTCCATTTTATTATAGACAGTATATGTTCTTCAAATGGAGTTTTTATCAAAATGTTTCTTAGGGTGTCTAGTATGTGCCAGGATTTATAACTCTTGGTCTTGGAAAACTTGATCTCTGTCCTTAAACTGTTCTTGACTACTGTGGGTCAGAAATAAACAAAGTGCAGTCTACTTAATAAGACATGATGAATGCATTAGAAGTTATATGTATAAAGTACTTTGGAAGCAAAACTTACAGAACAAGTAACTCATAAGGGTTTAAAAAAGTCAAGCTGTTTGTTCTTTATGCTGTGTATGCATGTTTTTCATGCGTGCATGTCTATCAAGACAGTAGCTAAGAAGTTCAGAAGAGAGCACTGGGTTCCCTGGAACGAGAATTACAGGTGCTTGTGAACTACCGTGTGGGTGATGGGAACTGAACCCATGTCCTTTGTAAGAGCAGCTAGTACTCTTAACAACTGCTGGGTCATCTCTCATCTCCCCCTCCTCAATGCACATGTGGAGAATCCCCCCCCCCTCTCTGTCTCTGTCTCTTTGTCTCTCTCTGTCTCTCTGTCTCTCTGTCTCTGTCTCTCTCTCTGCCAATGTGTATGAGTATTTTGCCTGCATGTATGGATGTGCATCACATGCATGCTTGGTGTCCAAGGAGACCAGAAGAAGAGGGTGTTGGATCTGCTATAACTGAAATTGATAATTTCGAGGCAACATGCCAGTGCTGGGAAATAAGCCTGGGTCTTCCACAAGAGCATAAATGCTCTTAACCACTGAGTTATTTCTCTAGACCCCTTTTTATACTTCTTTTCCCCTTCAATGTAGGCTACAAGATAGTAAGGAACACACTAAGCGAGTTATCCCACCCTGGAGTTTTGTCTTACTCATTCTGCCAAACTACCTGAGTTGGTAAAGGTAATAATTCCCCCCAAACTAGTTTCTGGTATCATTTTATACTTCCAATCAAAGTAGGACGGTCATAGCATTGTGTAACCTGAAAGTAGAACACTCTCAAAAAAGAGGCTACTTTAAAAACCTGACTCTTAGTCATATGATATTTTAAAACTTATTTAACCACCATGAAACTTTGGTGCCTACAGATGGTTGTATGTTGCAAAACTTAAATTAAAACTTTCTTCCCAGTTGCCACCACAGCCACTACCACTAGCCAGCTGATATTCATTCTTGAGCTGTGGCCAATACCTTTCAAATAGCTCACAAAAGCCTCGCAAGGTCCCTCTGAGGTCTGGATCTCCCGTGCTCCTGTTTGAGGGAAGCGAAAGTACCCATGGACAGACCGCACCCTGTGAAGTCAGACAGACATCCGCGTTTCACCTAGAAGCCTCACACTTAATTAGTTCAAGGGTGATGCCATGTTCTGTCTTTCTTCCCATATGGTTATAACTATGATTATTGAAAGAAAGCTGGCTTTGTTTTGTTAAATACTTTATGTTGTTAAAAACCTTAAGAAACCTGGAGAAGCATAGTCCGTTAAAAAATGGAGAGTAAATATCTCAGCCCATTTGCACTGCCGTAACAAAATAGCAGAATAGCAGCTGGAGAAGATGTGTTAGTAAATTATTTGGGGGCAAACATGAGAGCCTGAGTTCAGATTTCCAGCACCCTGGTGGTCTAACCACCCTTTAAATCCCCACTTGTTAACACTATTACATTGGCCATTAATTTTCAACACTTGAAACTGAATTAAAACATTGGAGTAAGTTCAGAGGTCTTCCTGTTTTCTAAAGACTGATGGAGACATGTACAATATTCATAGAAGACATAAAATATTACATACCTTCCAGATCGGGAACCAAGGAAGCCTGAAGAAGTGATTATTTCAAGTAGAGCTTGGTGTAAATGAGTTTATTGGGGGTTACTTAAAGACTCATAAGTGATGACATATTTACAAGGCTATTGGTGACTCAACTTCACTATCAGGAAGCCCACAACAGCATGGTGACAACTCAGAAAGCTGTGTGGCTGAAAGTCCTTGCCGGACTTGTAGGCACATCCCCCAGGCTCATCTCCTATAGTGATTGCTTCCACAGTCTTGGAAAGGAGTCATCTATGTTTCAAAGGCTTCCTGAGTCATGTAAATTTCATGATGTGTGAGTTCTATGAACCTCATTCTTGCCAGTCACCTCCCCTCCATACCCACAGAGAAAAAATAGCATTTTAATCAGGTTGCTGTGATGGGTTGGGGTTCACAATTTTCTGGTTGGTCATGCATATATTTAGAAATGCTATGTTCTTGTTTTCAGAGATGGCATTCTTGTGATATTGATCAGCAAATAGTTGCAACATGATGCCAGTCTGCATCTGGCTAATTTTATCCCTTGGATAATAAGGGAAGATCACATTTCATACTGTGTCAAAAGAAGGGAGATCAGAAGAAAGTACACCTTGAGCCTCAAGACATGGCATAATGGGAAAGAGTATGTATTGCTTTTACATAGTACCTGAGTTTGGTTTCCAGCATTGGTGTTGAACCACTCACAATCTCCTGTAATTCTAGATGCAGGGAATTCAATTCCTCTTACATCCACAGGCAACTACACTCATGTGCATACACCCCTACACAGACACACAGACATGTAATGAAAAACTAAAATATCTTTTTAAAACTAAGAAAGAAAATTCACTTTTAACAGGTGACATGTTATGGGTTATGGCCCAAGAATCTAGCCATTTCTTGTCCCCATTATAGTCCTTGTCTGCCTCATTATCCTTGTCCAGTGTAATTGAATCTTATGAGAGACATTTCCCTCTCCTGCTTCCTCCCTTACTAGTCCTAACTATAATGGACCTATAGGGAGACAGAGGATAATCGTGGGAGCACATAGAGATGTAAGGCTGCTTACCTCATGGCAAGTAGGAAGCAAAAAGAGAGAGAGAGGACTATACTCTTAATATTCCTTTCAAGGGCACACTCCCAGTGATCTAGTGTCTGTCCTGTAGGCATCAACTGGTAAGAGTTTTACTATGTTCCAATAACACCACAGACTGGTAGACCTGTGCCTTTAACACACAAGCCTTTGGGGACACTTCATATCCAAACTATAGGCAGTTTAGCCCCACTGTCATGGTGCATGTCTTGAATCCCAGCACTTGGGAGTCAGAGGCAGCTGGATCTCTGTGTCTGAGGCCAGCCTGGTCTACAGAGAGAGTTGCGGGAAAGTCAGGGCTACACAGAGAGACCATGTCTCAAATATATATATATATATATATATATATATATATATGTAATTTATTCATTAAATTTTATAGTTTTCACAAATGATTTTGTAACAGTAGATGGTCTCATTTTAATTGTTTCATATCAAGAATCTGCAACTCTGAAATACTGATGAACTGGCCTAGGATTCTCTACTTTATTAGTGGTAGAAAACACATTACCCCTGAGGTATCTCTGACTCAAAACTGGCATTCTTTCTAACACATTAGATTGCCCCTGAAAAGACTTGGGATCTTAAATTCATCTGGAAGGGAAGGAACATGAGAGGGACTAGAACAAATTATGACTGGTTTGGGTATGTATTACAGACCTTTAACCCCTTAGTGCCCATATAAAATAGCCCCTAGTCCTGGGTTTGGAGAACAGACCCAAGAGCAAAACCAGGTCCCCTTAGGACATTGCTTCATTGTGGCTGAATTATAGTAACACACAGTAGCCCACTCTGTTACATCAGTCATACACAATATTCAAATGTGCCTAATATCACTGCTTCTCCTACTTCTGCATAGACATGAGTCATTAATGTGATCTTGCTTTTTTGATGTAAATATCATCATTCTCTTCAATTTGAGAAAGTGTATCTACCTGTCAAATATATTCTCACTAAAAATGATTGTAATATTTCATTTGTGAATGTGCTATAGAAGGATGAGCTTTTGTGGGTTTTTTTGTTTTGATTTTTTTTTTTTTTGAGACTGGGTTTCTTTGTGTAGCCTTGGCTGTTCTGGAACTAGCTTTGTAGACCAGACTGGTCTTAAACTCAGAGATCTGCCTCCCTCTGCCCCCTGCAGTGCTAGAATTAAAGGCCTGTGCCACCACGCCCTGCTGTAAAGGTATTTTATGTGAGTTTATGTCACTTTACAGGTAGGATCAGGGTGCTGTCATCATGACTATTGTTAAACATGCGTTTCTATGTTTAGAGGGTGAGTTTTGGGAAAAAAGGGTTGCAAATATATCTGATGTGTCTAGAAGAGATTTTAGGCTTGAAAGTAGAGGCAGAGAAACTATTTACCTTAAGTCACCTATTATGTATTTTATGTAACATAATTAAATTTTCTCAAATACTGCACAAGAAAGGGGACCTACCGATTTTGTTGACATAATGTCTTTTTAAACCTTCCATCCAATGTCTTAAAGTCTAGAAATCCAGTGAAGATGTCAAGGGGTCTTTAAGCAAAGAAGGAGTAGAAATCAATGCTAGAATTATTATTTTGAACAGTGTATCGACAGCTATAATAAAGTTAGAGCAACGGGACCCAACAATGTAAAGTCAGTTAATGGACTTTATTTAGACAACATCAGATAAGACATTAGTAATAACTGTTATCGTGATGAATAACCTTAAATTCAAGAAAACATTTCCCCAAACACAAGTTGTTGTGAATTTCTGCCCCTTTTATCTTACAGTCAGCAGAAGATTGCAACCTCCCATTATGAAATGGCATCATAAAATGCAGAGCACAGCCACCCCAACGGAAACCACCTTTCTCCTCTGCTGATACACGCGGGCTAGCAGTAAATGCTTTTTGAACTCCTGGCGTGCGGATAAATTCCCACAGACGTCTCCAATTGGACTGAGAGATTGAGAGACACTAGGGAGAGAATAGCTGAGGCCAGGAGAATTTAACATGGCAATTAGCAACCCTTTGGCTTCCCTAGACCCCACAGCCTAAGACTGGGGTGCAAGAAACCGAAAATCTCTCCAGCAGCGTCCATGATAAATTGGTTGGGTCCCTGGGGTTATTGGACACAGTTATTATCCAATAGCAGCCCTGGATGGTGTGAAAGTCTATGCAGTGAGGTCAGAGAATGAAACAGGGCTTTAAATTCCCAAGGAGAGCTCCTTTGCTTATGTCTCAATTGGTATGCCCTTTCCCCTTATTTCGGGAAGGCTCCAGATCACATCACAGCATCTGTATTACCTTCTCTATCTGAACAAATAACTTCTGAAACATCACTTACATGAAGCAATTGTAACCATTACCACCGGTGACTCTGTCCTTGAAAAGTTAGAAAAGTTAGAGATAAAATGAAAATAAAAATATTTAAAGATTTTTTAGGACCTCTCTCCCCCCACCCTGCAAAAGCAGGGGATTTATGCAGAAAAAAAAGAGGAATCTTAATTCTCTTTGCGTATTAGCACTGAAAGCTGCTTTTAGGCATTATTTTAAACATCAAGTATAATTCATAATAACATCACATTGCATTGAAATTAACTTTTTACATTTATACATTTCTTGGGGTCTTAGGAGTCTAGGGAAAATAGCATTGCCTATTTACAACTTTGCTGGAAAGATTAAATGAATTAATACATAGAAAATGCTAGGAGGCTTGGCATTTAGGAAATTCTCAATTGTTAGTAGCGAGGATGATAATGATACTGAAAAAGACGGTAATGATGATTTTTAATGTCATCTTAGATATATTTTATCATCCACACAGCAAGGATTGTGCTTGCCTTATCTAAGCACTGAAGCAGACTCCAGAAATGCAATTGATATTTATGCATGGACAGAATGAAGGATTACTTAGGTTTTTCCAAATGCTGAATTCCACACTTGTGTTACTATTGATTTAGCTTCATTATGAAGATTATTAGGGGTCGTTACAAAGGAAGTGGGAAATAGATTGAGCAAAATCAATATCTTCAGAATACATTTACTGAGGGACTACTATGTGTCAGGTACACTGCTTAAAATAACACACACA